AGTACTCTTAAAGTGGTGGTGCACTGCTGCCCCAGTCCTCCCATGTGTGTTCGGTTTGCTGTCCAATCCCTGTGCCACCCACCCCAGGACTCGAGAAGTGATCTGGTGCATCTCTCACATAAATTTGGAGCAGTTTTATTGAGAGAGGAAAGTTCTGAGATAGGAGACTAGAATAAGCGGAGTTGCACACATTCTAAATTAGGGAGGCAGCTTCCTTTCACTTTCCTGACCTGGCAAGAGCCTCACTTGCCCCCTGCCCAGGAGGGCACTGCAGAACTGGTCTGCCATGCCATCCATCCATGGGGAATGTGTGTGTGTGTAGGAGTGAGAAGAAAGGGAGGGGGTTGCTCCTTGTGGCACACATTCTTTTGAATTCTATAACTTTGTTTGGCTTTTTTGTTTTGTGAAAGGTTGCAAAACTCCCTCAAGTTGTCCAGCAGCAAACTCCTGTGGCCAGCATCCAGCAGGTGGCTTCTGCCTCCCAACAGGTAGGACATGGTAGCCACATGGACCCTCTGGCATGCTTGATGCTTTCCATTAGAATTTGTGGTTTTTGTCCTGGGGAAGCAGAGTGTGAAGGATAAGAGAATTGCTCCTGGGTTCTGTGGTGCTCACAAGGATGTGCGTGGGGGTGGATTGATGCAGAAAGTGTGAGCAGGCTGTGAATAGTGTGGCCTCGCAGTGCTTAGGGACCTGGCCTTGCAGCCTGTCGTAAGCTCTCCCCTTCAGCAGGCACCTTGGGCATGGCCCATGGGGAAGGTTGCATCTCTCAAGTGTCCAGGGAATACGCCCCACTCTGCAGGCCAGGAAGCAGATAGGATGGCAGGAACAGCAGCAGCCCCTTCCCAACAGAGGCTCTCAGGCCCTCCTACTATGTGTATTTTTCTTTTGAGACTGGGTCTCACTATGCAGTTCAGGCTGCTTGGGAACTCACTGTGTAGCCCAGGCTGGCCTCCAACTTGCAGTGATCCTGCTACCTCAGTGTGCCACCACACCCAGCTACTGCGTGTATTATTGTGCAGAGTGTGATCAGATGGTGCATTGCTTTCAGTTTTATTTTGTGCTAACTACACTGGCATACGGGTTTCAGGAAACCAAATGGTGTTAAACCAGCCCCAACTCAGCCTTGCCTTTCCTCCTTGAAGCCAAGTAAACAGTAGTATTTCATCCATGCTCTGTTTTGTTATAAAGCTGAGGCCTCAGCTGGACGTGGTGATATAGGTCTGTAATCCCAGCACCAAGGATGGCTTAGGCAGGAGGATTGCAGGTCATGGGGCTGCCTGGGCTGCATAGTGAGAATCTTCTCAAAACACAAAAAGGACCAGGACTGCAGCTCTGTGTGGCACACCCCAGGGTTAGGGAGCAGAGGCCTGTGGGCCAAGCGTCCTAGTCATGCGTGCTCTCTGGTTCCTGTCAGGCTTCCCCACAGACGGTGACGCTCACGCAGGCGACAGCAGCCGGACAGCAGGTGCAAATGATCCCCGCAGTGACAGCCACTGCCCAGGTGGTACAGCAGAAGCTCATACAGCAACAGGTGGTAACAACAGCCTCTGCCCCGCTGCAGACACCTGGTGGCCCGAGCCCTGCACAGGGCCCAGCCAGCTCTGACAGCCCCGGGCAGCAACCCAAGCTGCAGATGCGGGTCCCTGCCGTCCGGCTGAAGACACCCACCAAGCCTCCATGCCAGTAGGCGGAAGCCAGGAGAGTGTCCAGGAGGTGGGCGGCGGTGGTGGGAAGCCGTGGTTCTGGTCAGCGGCGAAGTGTTGGATGTGCCCTGCACTGCAGGGGGAGCACCCCTTTCTGCTGCATGACTGCAAGAGTGCAGTGGGGAGGTTTCCCTTCTGGTCACTCATGAGTCTTCAGAACATCGGTTGCACACAGCGCTTTGCACGTCTGGGAGCCAGGGCACACACAGCTCAGGCGCTGTGTGTTCTATCTGCCTCCGTCCTGTTCTGCGGCACACAGCCTCAGTAGAAGGCCTGGGATGGGCTTCGCACTCCAGGGCCCCCTTACAAACATGTTTAGTCCTGACACCCATCGAAATACCATGATGTGACTGCTTGTGTGTGAGGCAGAGACCATGGCAAGAGCTCATTCCACAGAGGCTGTTGGCTCCTGCCTGCCTCAAGTGGGCTAAGCGTCCGTCTGAAGAATGCTTTGGGATGGGCCTGGGCCCACTTGCCAGGCTCCCAGGCATAGCGAAGCTCCTGTTGGATGCTTGACACTGTTGGGTCACAGGTGTTCCGTGGGGCGTGCAGCAGGACAAGGTGGCCCAGTGAGAACCAGGAGCAAGGCCACAGGAGCCCTGCCACCGCCTGGCTCAGGTATGGGTCTGCAAAGCTGGCACCCATGCACCCAGGGCAAGCGGGCCAGTGCCTTCTGGTACCAGCCACCACCTCGCCAGCAGGACAGGCCCAGGAGGCAGCCTGGCCTCAGCTTCTGCCTCTGCTTTCACCATACGTAGCAAGGTAGCACACGGCATGCGCAGGCCTGCGGCTCCTGGTCCTCACAGCACAAGGTCCCACCAGTGGCCGTGTGTGCCCATGTTGGGCAGCCCGGCTTGGCCAGCAGTGTCTGCTGCCGGGCCTACTGGGAGGCTCTCGTGGCACCGCGTTTCCTCTGTGTCTCCGTCAGCTGCGGGCAGTAGGCAGGAGCCTGCTGGGGCTCACTTCAGGAGGAAGGCAAAAGTGAAATGCTGAGAAGATACAGCGGGATCGAATGTTGGAGTTAGTGAGTGCCTGCCAGGCACTGTCCTCCAGGGAGCCTGCTGTCTGCACCACTGCATCTGCCACATGCACCTCCCCGTCTCCTCACTGCCTCCAGCGAGTCCCCACTGTGAGCCGCGTGCAAAGGTGTTTCTCCTGGGTTCCTCCTCTCGCCAGCACCCAGCTGTGCCACCGCCCAGAGCAGGACTCTGCTGCCATGTGTTCCTGTCCACCTTCCCTTTTGTGGGTCGGGCTGGTGACTGGAGTGTACACTGTGTCTCGGCCTCCCTTGTGCTGGTGCAGCATCACCATTCAGAGGTTTCCAGAGTGTGGGCTATAGTGGCACCTGGATGTCACCTGTGGAACAGCAGCCGGTCCCACTTCATGTGATGTGTGTAGGGTGCGTGGACCCTGACCAGGCAGGGGCTTTTTTGCAGTTGTTACTGTTTTTGTTCACTGTTGCAACCAGATAGCTGTTGTGTTTCAAAATGTGAGGAACAAGTCTGAATTTGTAAATATTTTGTAAACACGAGCATTTGTACTTGAAGATTAGGATTTTAAAGGGCACTGACGTCCCACCAGACAAAAGGCATAATAAAGTGACCTTTTTATAGACTTTTTTGTCTAGCATTTCATAGAAGACTCATGTTTGAGATGCTGGTGGTTCTGTTTCTTTTATTCACAGGTCAGGAGACAGATGGCGACATCCAGAATGTGTGAGGATGGCGAGAGCAGTTCTCACAGCAAGTAACAAAGCCCACATGCTGGGGAGCCAGCCATGCAGGGTGACAAGGAGCTACCATAGCAGCTACTGGTCCGTCTGCCCTGCCCCCAAGTCAGGGTTGTGGTCTCCTTGGAACCATCCTGCCCCCTGGCCAGGTGCTCTGCCTGGTTTGTTTAGACGCTAGCCAGGGTGGGAGAGAGACAAAGCTCCTGGCCCCAGCCAGCCACACACAGCACCTGTTTCCTGTGTTATACTCCATTAAAAGTCTGTTAGAAACAAGATGCAGTGGTATCTCAGTTCACAAACTCAGGTTAACGTTGAACTTAGCCATTGAAATTTGATTCAGTTCACAACCAATGGATTTGTGACCAGTACTGTGGGAAGAAATGAAGTTGATGAACCAAGGTACTGCATTTCTAGTTGAAGTAAGTTTTAAACTTTTTTTTTTTCCCTTTGGATTTTTTTGATGGGGCTCTGTAGTTCAGGGCGGCCTTGAATTCACTGGAGCCCAGGTTGGTCTTGAATTCACAGTGGTTCTCCTGCATCAGCTTTCTGAGTGCACCCCCTCCCTCCCAGCTTAAAAACCACTAAAGTCCAATACAAATGAATAAAAAAAATTTTTTTAAATTGTAATTTGTAAGATAGGGCCTTACTTTGTAGTTTGGGCTGTCTGGGAACTCACAGGCTGTGGGAGACAGCAATATTGATTATGCCCAAGGTAGTTTGTGAAGAGTTAACCCCACAGTTGACTTGTTTATAGGAGTGAGTCTGACTGAAACCTACGTGCCAGTGTCAGAGTAATTCACACCCAAATTGTTACAACTAAAACCTTCTGACTAGGACGACGTTCTAATTACAACCATATATTTTGTCTATTCTGATCCTAACTTGAGAATGCTTTGTCTTGTCCTTTACAAGCCTTGTTTACATTCATTTCCATACCTGCCCTCAGCCTCCTAAGTGCTGGGATTATAGGTGTGCACCACCACACGCAGCTGTTACAAAGTTTAGTTATGTATGCTTATTCTTGTCATCCTGGTTAAATTCTGATACTGAAAAAAATTAGGTGTATTTATCCATCCTCCTACTCACCCAGTCCATGTTTGCTTTTTTCCTGAGAATTCAGGCTGGCCTTGAACTCACTGCAATCCTCCTGCCTCAGCCTCCTGATTGCTGGAATTACAGCCTTTTTTTAAACCACGTACTCTGAGGGAAGCCAGCAAGCACTCTAGAAGTGGTCCTGGCAGTTGGTGCTGTGCAATGTGGGAAGGTGTGCAGAACACAGGCAAGCGTAGCTTGCGGAGAAGTGGTGTGAGCTACATCTGGGCAGTTTTCCCAATGGCTGCAGGGAGGGGACATCGAGGCAGCAAGGCAGGGGCAGTAGGAGGTCTGGGTCCCAGAGGTCCTGGGTGAGACAGTGAAGGAGCCTTCCCTGAGACCAGTGCCCAAGCCTAGGGGCTGCCAGGAGCTCCTGGCCAGGACGAGGTCCGTCTATGCTGAAGTCACAGGCTGGGGTGCCACTGCTTATTTCCTGCTTTCACACAAATGAAACCAGTTCAGGCAATTTTTAAAAATTTAATGCATCACATAAACACTTTAAAGCCAAGCCTTATACACAGATGAGTGCTTCTCCGTCTAGGTCCCCTCTCGTTCACCTGAGCCGCTTTGCCTTCCCACGCAGTGAGGTGTACAGGGCACCTGCAGACTGCAGAAGCCTCCAGGTCGTCCGCCCTCCTGGTCCCTTCCCTGATCGCACAGCACACCATCTCACTTCCCCTTCCAGAGGCCTGCATGATTCCAGGCTGCTTGGGCAAGGAGGCTGTGCCCTCTGCTCTTGCAGCACCCAGTACTTAGGTTTTCGAGAGGCAGTGACTTGTTGGGGCAGGCCAGCCTAGGCTGCCTTCTGCTTCTGCTCTTCCTGTGGGAGTACAACAGGTTTGGTACCCCTGCTCCCCACCTCCACGAATCATCCGTCTCCTGCACTGGCCAGCACCTCACCTTCACTGCCCTCTCCAGCTGGGACAAGGCTTCCTCGTACTGCGGGACCAGTGGCTGCAGGAACTTGCTGGGGATCTCATGCCTTGCCAGCTCAGGTGCCCCACCTTCTGCCAGCATGCGGAGGAACCTCCTCTCCTTGAAGGATGCGACCTCATATGGGAAGGGGTTCTCACCCAGCCCCAGCACCCCCGGAGCACAGGGTCCACCAGCACCTCACCTGCACCTTCAGGAGCAGTGTGAAGGCTCGTCCTGTCTTCCCTGCTCGCGCCGTTCTCCCAACCCTGAGACCAACGTGGCCCTGACCTTGGGGATCTGAAGGAGGACGGCCCCTTGGCCGGCACCTCCAACTGACCCCTGTGCGAAGACCCCCACACCCTCCACCCAGCTCAGCCCCGCCGCTAGCCCTCACCGGTGCACATAGGTCCGCAGGTACTGGGGGGCATCATAGTTGATCACCAGCTCCACACCCAGCACGTCGATGCCTCGAGCAGTGGCATCTGTGCTGATGAGGCTGTGAGGGTGGACACAAGCACCCACTCTGGGCACTGGCTGTCAGAGCCCAGTTTCAGGCAAGCACCCAGCTCCACACAGTACACATGCATGCACACAGACCCCACCAGCCAAGTACTCACAGTTGGATCTTGCCCTGCTCAAACTGCTTCAAGACCTTCCTCCTATGGCCAGGTCCATAGCGGGAGGAGAACTCCGCCACACTCACACCCCCAAACGCTTGTACCAGTAGGAAGAGCCTGAGCAGAGACAGGGCTGAAGCCAGGCCCAGCTGGAGCTCCCTCACCCTCACCCCCACCCCGCCGGCAGCACACCCGCCCGGCTCACCTGTGGGAGTTCTCCCGGGAGTTGGTGAAGCAGAGGGCCCTGGAGAGTTTCGTTCCAAGGACCAGGTGCATGGCGGCCAGTGGCTTGGAGCTCAGGCTGCAGGGCACGTAGTGGTGCTGCAGGAGATCGCACAGGTTGGCTGGGAGCACTGGCCCAGCAGCCACGCCACCCGCACACGCCACACACTCACTGTGAGCCCTGAGGGGAAGGCGTACTTCCCCTCTGGCTCCCTGTCCACCTCGGTGCCCTCATCTTTGGGGACCCTGTGCACCAGCCGTGTAGAGAAGAGCCGTGGCTGGTACAGGCCAAGCCGCTGCAGCTTCTCAGGGTTCTGGGTCAGGGTAGCCGAAAAGAGCAGCTTCTGTAGGGGCATCTGAGGACAGCAGGTACTAGAAGGGAAAGGAGTATTGGCAGACGGGGTCCTCACACCACCCTGACTGAAGGGCAGGGATGGCAGAGCACCCTGCAGGGTGGTGTGGGGTACCTGGCAGCAGTCATGGCCTGTGGCTGCCATCTCTGCAGCAGGGTGCAAGGGAATGCAGGTCCATTGCTGGAGAAGGCGGCTGCCATCACCCGGGGCAGCCAGGACTGGTGCATGCTGTCTATCATGCGGTCAGCCTCATCCACAACCTGTGGGGCAATGCAATGGATCTGGGGACTCCTTACCCAGGGAGCCCTCACTCAGGGCCCAGGCCTACCAAGAAGCGCAGCTGCTGTAGACTGAACCCAGGGGTCTGGTCAATGTGGTCTACCAAGCGGCCAGGCGTGGCCACCACGATGTCAGCCAGGCAGCGGTAGCCGTCTGCTCTGCAAACCAGAGGAACTCAATCAAAACATGAGCCTTCCAGGGCTTATGACAGCAAGGAGCTACCCTGCTGCCACCAAAGCCACCCCAATACAGGGCTGCTGGTGGGCAGAGCAGGGCACTCCCCAGCCCACCGCACCACAGGACCTACGTCTTCTGGACTAGGCTCTCCTGCTCTGTGGCCAAGGGCTTCTGCCCAGTAATCAGGGCAACTCGCAGAGGGGTGGCATCAGTGTAGATGTTGAACACTTTTCTCACCTATAAAGGAAGGTCACTGGCCTGTGACAGGTGCCAGCCCAGTCACTACATCACGGACTCCAGGTCTTGTCTGGGTCAGCCACAGGCTGGGCACTGTGGCTGGAGTGCAGACTTCTAGGCATAGGGCAGTGTACCTGCTGGGCCAGCTCCTTGGTGGGCAGCACAACCAGGGCACGGACATGGCAGACCACTCGGTGCAGCAGGGCCTGCAGGGACCAAGGCCGCTGGTGTCAACAGGGCCAATTCCCTACCACTGTGCCATGAATGGGGGTGAGGGGAACCCTTAAACCCACCTGCACCACCGGAATGACAAAGGCCAGTGTCTTTCCACTGCCCGTTGGGGCAGAAATGCAGAGGTCACTAGGCTGGTAGCCACCTCTGCCCACCAGAAACCCGTTGGCTGCACTCTCCAATAAAGCAGGAATCACAGCCGCCTGGACTGGACAAGGAGGAGCAAGGGGCAGGGTCAAGCTCTCACCAGGCAAAGCTGTTCCCCAAGGACTTCCTGCTTCCAGAGGGAACCTCAGCTGAAGTTGGGTGTGCAAGACCTGACTGCCCATCTGGAGGTTCAGGACACTGCTGAGTGTAAGGCCCTGTGCCAACACAACCTCAGAGAGGCTGCCCTGCCCACCACCTGACAACGGCTAGGGCACCTGGGAAGTAGGAGGAGATGCCATGTGCCCTCAGCTGCTTCTGCAGGTCAGGGTGCACCTCAGGGATGTCTTCAATGGGAACAAGGTCCTTGGTGATGTTCTTCTTGATACAGCTTGGCTTGGCCAACCACGTTGGCAGAAAAAGCTGGGCCTATCCCAAACAGCAGAAGAAAGAAACCAGAAGAGTTCTCCAGAGCCCTCCAGGATGGATGAGCAGGGTAAACAAGAGCTGGGCACTCGGGCAGAAGGGGCCTTGAGAAGACAGCTGAGCAACCCTGCTTCTCCTTAACACCGTATGCACCAAATGGGACAGCAGCGGTCCCTCTGAGTACACTCACCAGGCCTCCTACACTTCCTACTGTCCACGGCCGCCTGCGGTGCCACACCAGGTCCTCCCTGCCGCTTGACCTCCCTGGTCCTCTCACGCGCTGGCTCCACATAACCCCAATTCCAAGACCTTTTCCGTGGGCCTGAAGCGCTCGGCCAAACCTGCGACGGTGGCTGCCACGGCCCGATCTCTACCTACTAACTTTCTCAAATAGCTTCACTGTTCAGAAGGGCAAGGGGCCTGCGGTCGGCTCGGCAGGCTTTGGCGGCGTCTGCCACCCCTCCGCTACAGGCGGCTGCGCTCCGCGGCCGTGAATTCACTCTTACCTTCGGCGCC